TTTTTATGACAGCCCATACTAGTTGTGATATGTATTACTTAGTTCGAATACACTTTTTCAAGCGCATCAAGGACAAAATCTGATAGAGGAATCTATTCACCGACCAACGCAACAATGGTGCATCTCCGGTTTGTTTTATATTTAAATATTTCTCGCCCTGCAAACTCCTTTTCAAGATCGTTTGACACCTCTCATACGCAGCGGTTTGTTTGCTGTGGAAGGCTACCTGGATAGGTTGATAGCCTTAGCCAGCTGCCCTCCGTGCCCCATTGCTGGTAAACTGCTCACATAGAGGAACTCCTTTCACCAAGTCACATGGGTGGAGTCCGAGTTTGCTCGAGAGGAGTAACCCTTCATAATAATTCCTTGATTCCTAGGAAAGCATAAAACCTTTTTGCTGTCAAGTGAAGCAGATAGCTATGCTAACAGCATTTTCTTTGAAATTGTCGAGAGTTAGCGAAGCAGAAGCGATCATTTATGATGAAACAGCAAAGGCTAAATCCTCCTTGCTAAGTTACTCGATTGGCAGTAGTGACGAAGCAGACCATAGCATACTCCAAAATTTAGAGAATATCGACTCACCATTATGGAAAACACAATTCCAGCGATATTACGAACGCAGCTTACTGCCCCTGATACTATTAACCATATAGGTATGTAGCGGTTGATGGGACACGAACCCGCTTTGATTACACCAACTGCAAACTCCATAATACCAACGCAAAGCAGCAGAGTGAATAATGTAATGGCGATTACTGTAATAATATATCAGATTAAGGCACGCAGCAGATCCCAAATGCGTACCAGTTCGAGCCAGTTCGTGAAGACCTTCTCGAATAAGCTCAGATCGCTCTCTGGCGGAGTCTGCTGCTTGAATTGAGTTTAAAATGCTTCCAAGTACAATGTCAGGTGGACGATCTAAACAGCTTTTGGGCCAAAATTCCACCATGAAAATAGATTCTGGCTGCCCACTTTCCTCTTCGTCTCCTTGCAGCTCAACTGACATTTTGTGAGGCCTTACCCTTGCAACGCTTAAACTAAAAATGAAACTTACTACCCTCCATTTGATTTCGAAAAAACAATATACACCATTAATCATTTCTTGCTTGGCTAAATCGGTTGCCTTTACATATTCTAGCGAAAGAAGGCAAGAGGAAAAAGGACTACTCTAGGTCGCCACTTAAACACTCATATCTGGGAAGTTTTTGGAATGCTAAGATTTTGCCGTCCAGCGGTCTATGAGTAACAGAATCTATGCACTTTTCCACTAATATATTGGCGGCTCCCATGCAGACTCTAAGCGGAGCTAGATTAGCCACTGAAGCGTTGCGGTCGCAAGCATACGATCAGCTGATCACCACAAGATTAAGATCCTTGATAACCGGGATTTCACGCCGCAGGTATGATCATAGAGGGCAACTGCGCCGTCGCAATGGCTCTGCCGGCTCCGTCTAGATTAGGCCTCGGCACGAGGTCCCTGATTGAACCTTACGAAAACGAATACCCGCCTGAAAATACAGGAAATTACGAAGTCTCCTTTGTAACTTGGACAAACGCGTACAATCAGGATAAGCCTGCAGTGCCGTATACTTGGAGCGCGGCTTTTTCATTAAGGAAAAACATTTTAGGGACCTAGCAAGAAAGGGAGGAAGTGCTGTGATCTAGTTATTGCGCTGTAAGTTGGGCCGAGGGGTGCACAAAATGTGTTTGCTGTACAGAACTTAAAATTTTTAGAAACAAAAAAGCGTTTGCTAATGGAGACCTGAGGTCTCCCGTAGGTCTCCGTCGGAGACCTAAATCAAAAAAGGTACGGCGATTTTTTCGTTCTCATAATACTTAGATACTTAGATGGCCTGTCTTCACTTGTCGTGCAGGCCACAGCACTGTTTCCATCCGTTCCTG